CAATTCAGTGTCTTATCTTCAGAGTAAGTACGTTAAGGAAGGAATAGCCTGAGTGGCTTTCAGAATGACACAGATTGAATTGACTAGGTCTCTCCTGGTCTGAGCGATGTACACAGCCCCACAGCAACAAACTGAACTCCCTGGAGCTGTGTACGGAGCCCCAGAGCAATGCACAGAACCCCCTGGAGCGATGTACACAGCCCCAGAGCAATGCACAGAGGTCCTAGAGCGATGTACACAGCCCCAGACCAAGGTACAGAGCTCCTGGAGCTGCGTACAGAACCCCAGAGCAACGCACAGAGGTCCTGGAGCGATGTACACAGCCCCAGCCCAACATACAGAGGTCCTGGAGCTGCGTACAGAACCCCAGAGCAACGCACAGAGGTCCTGGAGCGATGTACACAGCCCCACAGCAACAAACTGAACTCCCTGGAGCTGTGTACAGAGCCCCAGAGCAGTGCACAGAGCCCCCAGAGCAGCATACAGAGCCCCCCTGGAGTGATGTACACAGCCCCAGAGCAATGCACAGAGGTCCTAGAGTGATGTACACAGCCCCAGACCAAGGTACAGAGCTCCTGGAGCTGTGTACAGAGCCCCCCGGAGCAGCGTGCATGGACTCAGAGCAATGCACAGAGGTCCTAGATTAGGGTACAGAGCCCCAGAGCTACACACAGAGGTCCTGGAGTGATGTACACAGCCCCACAGCAATGCATGGAACCCCCTGGAGCTGTGTACAGAACCCCAGAGCGCTGTGCAGAGCCCCCCAGAGCGGCGCACATGGACTCAGAGCAACGCACAGAGCCCCTGGAGTGGTGTACAAAGCCCCAGAGCAAATCACAGACCCCCTGGAGCGATGTACACAGCCCCAGAGCGATGCACGGAGCCCCTGGAGCTGTGTACAGAGCCCCAGAGGAATGCACAGAACCCCCTAGAGCGGCGTACAGAGCCCCTCTAGAGTGATGTACACAGCCCCAGAGCTACACACAGAGGTCCTGGAGCGATGTACACAGCCCCACAGCAATGCATGGAACCCCCTGGAGCTGTGTACAGAACCCCAGAGCGCTGTGCAGAGCCCCCCAGAGCGGCGCACATGGACTCAGAGCAACGCACAGAGCCCCTGGAGTGGTGTACACAGCCCCAGAGCGATGCACGGAGCCCCTGGAGCTGTGTACAGAGCCCCAGAGGAATGCACAGAACCCCCTAGAGCGGCGTACAGAGCCCCTCTAGAGTGATGTACACACCCCCAGAGCTACACACAGAGGTCCTGGAGTGATGTACACAGCCCCACAGCAATGCATGGAACCCCCTGGAGCTGTGTACAGAACCCCAGAGCGCTGTGCAGAGCCCCCCAGAGCAGCGTGCATGGACTCAGAGCAATGCACAGAGCCCCTGGAGCGATGTGCACAGTCCCAGAGAGATGCATGGAGCCCCTGGAGCAACATATAGAGCCCCAGAGCAACGCATGGAGCCCCTGGAGTGGTGTACGGAGCCCCAGAGGAATGCACAGAACCCCCTAGAGCAGCGTACAGAGCCCCTCTAGAGTGATGTACACAGCCCCAGAGAGATGCACGGCGCCCCTGGAGCAGTGTATGGAGCCCCAGAGGAATGCACAGAACCCCCTGGAGCAGCATGCAGAGCCCCCCTAGAGTGATGTACACAGCCCCAGAGCTATGCACAGTGCTCTGTGCTGTGTACAGAGCCCCAGAGAAATGCACAGAGGTCCTGGAGCCATGTACACAGCCCCAGACCAATGTACAGAGGTCCTGGAGCTGCATACACAGCCCCAGAGAGATGCACGGCGCCCCTGGAGCAGTGTATGGAGCCCCAGAGGAATGCACAGAACCCCCTGGAGCAGCATGCAGAGCCCCCCTAGAGTGATGTACACAGCCCCAGAGCTATGCACAGTGCTCTGTGCTGTGTACAGAGCCCCAGAGAAATGCACAGAGGTCCTGGAGCGATGTACACAGCCCCACAGCAATGCATGGAACCCCCTGGAGCCCCAGAGTGCTGTGCAGAGCCCCCCAGAGCAGTGTGCATGGACTCAGAGCAACGCACAGAGCCCCTGGAGCCATGTACACAGCCCCAGAGAGATGCACGGAGCCCCTGGAGCGATGTATAGAGCCCCAGAGCAACGCACGGAGCCCCTGGAGCAATGTATAGAGCCCCCCCCAGAGCAAGGCCCACAGCCCCAGAGCGACGCAGGGAGCCCCAGGGAAGCTCAGGCACCCCCGGGCAGCTCCACCGGGTGATTCCCCGCCTGGCCCCCGGCCGGCAGCAGGAAAATAGGTCAAAACAGCCTCCTTGAAAATCACTCCTCTCTCCTGGGGCACCAACGCTGCTCTGCGTGGGGCTGGGACGCTGTCCCCCAGCCCTGGGGGGGCTCTGTACCACTGTTGGGGGGCTGTGGCCGCTGTCATCATCCCCCCTGCCCCGCTGCCTCCCCGGATAAGGCTTTTTCTGGTGGTGAGGGGGGGCAGCGCAGACCGCAGGCCACCCTGCAGCCTCCTAACCCACAATCTCTTAATCCAATTGGTGCATCTCCAAATGTAGCTCATTTTGGGTTTTTTTTCTGTTGTCGTTTTTTTTTTTTGTTTTTTTTTAAAATGCACTTGGTTTTACATTGCAGGCTGTCCGGAGTTGGGCAGAGCCAAAAGTGGAAGAAAGGAAAGAAAAAAAAAGAAAAAAAAAAAGAGAAAATAAAAAAAAAAGAAAGAAAAAAAATAAAGAAAAAAATGAAAGAAAAACAAAAGAGAAAGATGTATATTCAGCACTTGGAGGAGCAAATAACTACAAGCTGGCCCCAGGCAGGGAGGTGGGTGTGAGCTGGGGGGGGGCACCACCAGGCTGGTGGCAGGAGACACGTGTGTCCATGAGTGTGCACACACACACACACCCCCACACACGCACACGCTGTCTCGCCCCACGCTCTGCACCCAGCCACCCCCTCTCTGCTGCTGGAGGAGCCGGGGGGGGGACACCACCCGGACCCTTCCCAGCTGTGTAGGACCTCAGCAGCTTCCCCCCCACCCCCTTCCAGAGCAGAAGGGTGGCCGGGGAGGGTCCCCACTCCCAGCCCCAGCCTGGGTGACCGCAGGGACCCTCCCCGCCTCCTTCCTGCCCTGCGGCTGATGCAACCGCGCCGCAACCGGGGCTGGCAGGGATGCGCTGGAGCTGGGACGGGGCGGGCAGCGCTGGCAGCGCCGCAGGGGACGGAGCCAGCACCCTCTGCCCCCAGGGTGGAGGGGGGGGGGAAACACCACGGCATCGCATCCATACATCATCCCTGCCCCGCTCGGCCCCCAGCCCTGCCCTATCTCCACCAGCAGCCACCCCCCGAGGGCCGCTCTCCCCTTCTCGGTGGGGTCCCAAGCTGGCATTCCCGGTGAGGACCCCCCCCTCCCAGTGCCGGGCAGTGGTTCCGAGGGTGGTTAAATCGGCCACCCCGGTGGGATCATCCCCACTACGCACCCCCCGGGGGGCTGCCAACACCAACGGCTCCACATCTGCTTCCTAAGCGTCCCCGAGGGGCGAGGGGGATGGTTAGGAGACAGATGCGCCCGTGCCGCCTCCCAGAGGGGGACACCCCCCCCCCATCCAACATCGGGGGCGTCAGCGCGGGCGCTCTGCCAGCAGGAGAGTGGGTAGCGGGCACGCTGCGTCCCCCGGCCCCCCCTCCTCACTCACACGAGGCCCCCGGCTTCTCCTCCGCCCGGGGGGGGTCCGCGGGGTGCAGTTTGCACTTGGAAGGGGAATGGCGGACGGTGGAGCGGGACGGGCGGGCGAAGCAGGAGGTGAGGGACTGGGAGCTGCAGTCACACGCCGTGTCCTGCAAAGATAGACAGGGCACAGGGGGGGTTAGAGGGGTCGGGCACCTCGTCCCCCGCCATGGTGGGACACCCCGGAGGGGACCCTGCCTCGTTACCTCGCTGGCTATGGCCGAGAGGAGGTCGGGGTCCCGCAGGGCTGCCTCCTTACTCCCCTGGCCGGGGGACAAGGGCTTGGCGTCCTCGCAGCTGCTCTGCTTGAGGACTTTCTTGTTCAAGACACGGGAGATGTTTTCAGCTGGATGGTGGGTGGCCAGGCTGGGGTGCTCGGCTCTCTTGCTGCCCTCCTCCCCGGTGGCCTCCTTCTTCTCTGGGGGGGCAGTGGGGCTCTGCGCCCGCCCGCAGACGTTCCTGAAGAACTCCTGCACGAGGCCGTACTTGGGTGCTTCGGGCTTGGTCCGGCTGCTTTCAGGGCAGCCCGGCTTCCAGATGGACTCGGTGCTGCCCGCGTGCTCCACCACGCTGAACAAGCTGGACAAGCCATCGTTGATGTTGCTGAGGACAGGGCTGTCCCGGGTGGTGGTGGAACGGGCCCAGGCGGAACCATTCTGCTTGCTCTGGTGCAGGTTCCAGAGGCTCCTGTCCTTGGAGGCGTCCAGCTTGGAGGAAGACCTCCTCTGGAGCTTCGGGGAGCCGTATTTTGGGGAGCAGCACGGCCTCTCGATCCTGGAGTGGACCTTATCCAGGGAGGAGGAGATCTGCTTGCTGCGCACAGACACAAGGGAGGAGCTGCGGGGGGACCAGCTCTTGCCATGGACGCCGCTGCCGCGTGGCAGGTCGGTCTGCAGGCCCACGCTCACCGTCTGGATGGTCTGTGTCCCCACGTGGGCCAGCCCCACCGTCTGGCTGGAGGTGCTTTTCACCTTCCTCTCCAGCGAGCTGGAGCGGATGGCCTGCCGCACGCAGTTGGTGATCTCCTTCATGTCGTCGCTCATGTTGCCGGAGATCTCCAGGTCGTGCAGCGAGGAGGGGAAGCGGGGCACCGGCGGCACCGCGCTCTCCACCGTGCCACCGTCCAGCAGCTCCCGCTGCTGCTTGGAGAAGTTGCACAGCCACTGACTGTAGGTGCTCTCGGCGCTGGCTGACTCCTCCGGCTCCTTGGGCTTGGCCATGGTGAACAAGAAGCCGGGTTCGATCATGATCTTCCCCTCCTTGTTGTGCACCAGAGGCGCCTCCAGCCGCCGCACCACCGGTGGGCTGTAGTAGATGCGGATCCCCGTCTTGTCGGGTGCCGTGTAGCTCCTCTGCATTTGCTTCTGGGCTTGATCGTGCCCGGAAAGGCTGCTTGCCCTTGAGTAGTCCCAGGAGGAGATGCCCAGCTTCTCCTTGGCCAGGCTGTCGGGGACAGGTTGCTCAATATTCACATATGTACAGTTGGAGGGAGGAAGGCCAGCGCTGTCCCGGATCCCGTTGGGCAACAGCTGGGCGGCCGTGGATGCCTTTTTGCCCCGGGAATGGTCGCCCAGCCCTGGCGTGGTCTTTCCAGGGAGGTAGGGAGAACAGTCGAGCAAGCTTTCAAACTCTGACATGGAGGAAACGGACTTGGTCCTGTGGGAGAAGAGAGGATGGGGTTCACAAGGGGACAAGGCAGCAGGTTGGGGGGCAGTTGGAGGCACTCCACTCCTACCCCAGAAGGACCCTCCTGGGCACCCAGACCTGCTCCTCATGGGAGCCCTTGGCCTCCAGGACAACACTGGACCATGGCTGCACCTCCCTCAAGCTGCCAGGACTGCCAAGCCTGGGGACAGCCCCATGCAGCCTCCTCCATGCCTGGGGGACCACGAAGGCACCAGCACACTCACCTTTTGAGGTTGGTTCCCTTGGCTTCTGCTTCAGAGATTGTCTCTTTGTCTGTGATTTTTTCATTGAGAGCCTGGGAGGACACAGAAGAAAGCTCTGGTGTCAGCAAGCACAGGACCAAAGTACACAGATGGGGCTGGAGCAGGAGGTACACCCTGTTCCTCCCCAGCACTACCACCTTCCCCCATGCACCCATCCCGTTCCCAGGGTGACACAAGGCTCCTTGTACCCACTTCTATTTTAAATCAACGTTTTATAACCTCACTGAAGCCCTTGGGGCTCCGCCACGCTCTCCACCCTCTCCTTCTCCCCAGCCCCTGGTGCTCCCCCTTGCAACCTCATTTCACGGGGGTGTTACCTGGGGTTCACACAACCTCCCATCTACCCCTTAGCATAGACCTGAGCCCAACCAGCACCTCCAGAGCCCCTCCACCTTCTCTTGCCCACCTCTTTCCAGTTGCTGCCGTGCTTCTCCATTTCAGAGTGCTTCAAGGCCCATGGGTTGGCTCCTTTCTGCAACTGGAGAACATGCCCATCACTCAAGGTGTGCAACATGTGCCCCTCTGGGCAAGCAAAAGCATTTTGCTGCTTGCCCCCCATGCATGCCCCGAGAGCGTTTACACGCTCTCGGGGCACGCATGGGGGGCAAGCGGCAGAGGCTGGAGGACACGTTGCCGATGGGGGGACACCATACCTGGTTGATTTTGTTCTGCAGGTCCTTCGCTTGCTGCTCTGCCTGCTGCTGCTCCTCCTTGAAGCGGGCCAGCAGCTCCACCTTCTCCTGGTTCCAGTTCTTCTCGCTGATCTGCAGCTGCTTGGTGAGGTCCATGACGGCGCTGTAGGACTCGGCCAGGAGATGCTGGTGCTCCTCACGCTCCCTCTTCAACGCCACCTTCCAGTCTGGCAGCGCGCGCTCGGCGATCCCTTTGCCTGCCTTCGACTCCAGCTGCGGGGACATGTTGGTGGCTGTGGGGGGACCCACGGCTCCAGCGTGGTGCTGGACATCCTCAGGGAAAAGGCAAGGCCATGGATTTCCCAGTTCCCAAGGCTGTGTCACACAGCACAGCTCGCCCACGGCCACCACCGAGCTGCAACAAGCCCTGGCTTGTAGCCACCTCATGCCAGCCGGCCCGGCAGACGGTCACCCGGTGGGACGTGGGCTGAATGTCCTGCCTGCTGGGCTCTGCTCTGCCCACACCCCTGCCTGCTGGACCCTTGGCCAGCAGTGTGCCCAGGTGGCCAAGAAAGCCAACAGCATCCTGGCCTGTATCAGGAACAGTGTGGCGAGTAGGGCCCGAGAGGTGATCGTCCCCCTGTACTGGGCACTGGTGAGGCCCCACCTCAAGTACTGTGTCCAGTTTTGGGCCCCCTACCATAAAAAAGACATTGAGGTGCTGGAGCGGGTCCAGAGAAGGGCGACAAAGCTGGTGAGGGGTCTGGAGAACAAGTCTTATGAGGAGAGGCTGAGGGAGCTGGGGTTATTCAGCCTGGAGAAGAGGAGGCTGAGGGGAGACCTTACTGCTCTCTCCAACTCCCTGAAAGGAGGCTGTAGAGAGGTGGGGGTCGGTCTCTTCTCTCAAGTCACAGGCGACAGGACAAGAGGAAATGGCCTCAAGTTACACCAGGGTAGGTTCAGGCTGGATATTAGGAAAAATTTTTTCACTGAAAGGGTTATCAGACATTGGAATGGGCTGCCCAGGGAGGTGGTTGAGGCACCATCCCTGGAGGTGTTCAATTGTTTGTTGTGCGGGTGTCTATTTTTGTCAGTTAGGTTGATGGTTGGACAAGATGATCTTTAAGGTCCCTTCCAACCTAGAAGATTCTGTGATTCTGTGATCTCCTGGCAGGGGAGCCTCCAAGGATGCTGCTACCACTGGTGGTCAGGAAGGCACCTAGAACTGGGGTGCAGCAGCTCTGCTCCCTTTTTGGGGTTGGAGAGAGGGGAATCGGGAACCACCACTGAGCTCTGCCTGGAGAAATCCTGCCTGGGAGGTGCTGGCACCCACCCCGGGGAGTGGAGCTGATGGACGGCCGTGGGCTGGTGCCAGCACGGGGTGAGGGAGCCAAAAACCCTCCTGGCTGCGAGGGCAGGGCTGGGGGGACCGATGGGACAGGTTCTGTGGGCAGGAGCTTCCCCCAGCGCTGAGGGGGTGAGGGAGCCAAAAACCCTCCTGGCTGCAAGGGCAGGGCTGGGGGGACCGATGGGATGGGTTCTGTGGGCAGGAGCTTCCCCCAGCACTGAGGTTCCCCTCCCTCCACCTTCTGCCCTTGCCACAGCCATACATCCCTCCAGCAGCATCTGTGGGGGGTGCTGAGAGGAGAGGAGGGCTCTGACCCCACTCCCAGCTGCGGTGTCCTGGGGAGGGGAGGACACTGAGCCCCGATACCATCCTGCCCACCCGAGACAAACCCAGCGGAGGAATAAAGAGCATCCTCTGCTGCTCCACAGTCACATTTTCGTGCCAGCCCCGTTGCTATGGAAACTCGCCTGCCGGAGCGGCTGCTAATTGAGATTCCCACAGTGCCACCCTGCCTCCCAGCCCTGCCCAGCAGCCAGCGCTTGGCACGCAGCGCGGGCAGCCCCCACATCCCCACCAGGCAAGGTGGGGGGAGCTCCCCCCAAGGTCCGCAGGGTGCCCGGGGCTCCCACCTGGGCGATGTGGCACTTGAGCTCGGCGCGCTCCATCTCCCAGGCAGCCTTGGCCTTGGTGAACTGCTGCTGCAGCTCGCTGGCACCGCGCCGCTCCTCCCGCAGCTCCGTGCACAGCTCCTTCAGGGTCACCTTCATGTCCGCCAGCGTCTTGATGCACTCGTTGGGCTGCCGGGGGACGGGGAGTGAGCAGAGAGGCCCCACACCAGAAGGGAACACCCCTTGGGTGAGGGACAGGGGGTGCCACCAGGGCAGGGGAGCACCCCTCGGGGTGCCATGCCAGCGGGGAGCGTCCCCTCCCAGCCCCACAACCTGGGAGAAGCGTCCACCCCATGCCACGCAACCATAGTTTGGGGGCTGATCTTGTTGTCCCAAAGCATCCCCACCCCCCCTCCCCGGGTTCCTGGGGACCCCGCTCACCGTATTGGGGGTCCAGGTGTCCCCGGTGCACGTCTTATTGTCCGCCTGCTGCTGTGGGGCCAGCTCCTCCTCCTCCAGCAGCAGGTAAAGCTCCTTCATGCTGTTCACCTGCAGAAGACACCACAGCTGGAGTGATGAGGGGACCCACGGCCCGGGATGGGGGACACCCAAGCAGCCCTGGGTGGGAAGCACAGCCCTGGGGATGCCCAACAGTGTCGTGCCCCTCTACAGCAGCCAAGGTGGGAGCCCCTCAGCCCCCAGTACCTCCAGAAAGTCCTCGCCCTCACTGTGCACCATCTTGCCCTGGCGCCAGCGCTTGAGGAACCACTTGAGCTTCATGAAGAGCAGGAGGAAGCTCTGCCTGAACTGCTGCGACTCCTGCACCAGCAGGTTCTTCTCCTGGCTCCAGAACTTCTGCTCCAGCCTCCTCTGCAGGTTCAGGCTCTGCAGCTCAAACTCCCGCCGCAGCAGAGCCTTCTGGTGGTCCTCCTTCAGCTGTGGAGAGACATGGGGGCTCTGAGATGGGGGCTGGCAGCAGTGATGAGGTGCCTCCACCCCAGGGTCTGGGCTGAGCCTGGTGCCAGGCCCCTATTTAACAGCCTTGGGGAGCTGAAACACCTGTCAGTGTGCTGAGGACAGTAGGGCCATCGAGACATCGCCATGGGTGGACATGGCTGCACGCCCATGTGCAAGGAGGAGTGTGCTCAGCCCCTGTGCCCCTTGAAGATGGGACATGCTGTGTGTGGTCCTGGGTGACACCTGGGTCTCCAGGCACGTTGTCAGCCTGGGGCTGGAGGTGGCACAGCCATGGGTATGGAGACACCCATGGGGCAGCAGGGGCTGCTGCCTGCTTACCTGGCAGATCTTCTGCGAGAAGTTGTCCACCTCGTCCTTCCTCAGCTGCCTCTCCTGCGAGAGCTGCTCCTGCAGTCCCCGCAGGCTCTCGTTGGCCTCCGACAGCACCAGCTGCAGCTCCTTCATCTGCAACGACCCAAGGAGGGGATGGAGATGGTGGGCTGGATCCGGTCGCACCTCCCCGTGTCCCTCCCCGATGGGGCTCTGCAGCTTCCCTTGTCCCCAGCTCTCAAGGTGGACATCCCTGTCCCCAAGCCCGCTGGATGAGGGGACACGACTCCCTGCCCGTGTCTCACCTCGGTGGCGTAGGAGTCGTTCTCCTCAGGCCGGCAGGTTTTGTAGCTCCGGGGATGCGTGGGGTCCGTGTCCTTGGCGTGGGGGATGCGGAAAGGGTCGGCGTCCCTAAAATCAGGCTGCTGCATGCGTGGGCAAGTTAATGAGAACAAACCAAAAGAGCGGGAAGAAAAAAAAGCCAGAAAACAAAACAATGGGTCTCCGAAACAGTAAAGAACTACAAGACAACAAAAAGGATGAGGAGGAGAAGGAGCTTCATCACCATGGCGGGAGACAATGCGGAAACCAAAAGGAAACACAGGATGAGGAGACACGTGGCCTGGATTGTTTGGGGAAAGGGGAAAAAAGAGAGAAAGAGGGAAAAAATGTGCAAACACCAGTTACGGTGCCATGCAGTGATTGGAGGAGACCGGGACCTGGGGCTGGTGGGACCACATGCAGAAAAAATAGGACTCTGAACAAGCGAGTGTGCTCCAGAAAGGGGCTTGTGCCCATGGCCCCAGCCACCACTGATGTCCCTGGCCCCTGGAGAGGAGGAGGATGGCAGGGCACGAGCTGCTCTCCGCTGCTCCGAAGGTGCTCCCCATCGGATGCAGATTTGCCCTGGAGCCTTTGCCCTCCAAATTACCCTGCCTGGGTACTACTGGGGGCTGAGGCTTCTCACAGCCGGGGGGATCCCCGCAATTTGGGCTGCTTTCGGGGGGCTGCAGGCTGCTCTCCTCCCACCCAGCTCATCTCCAGTAAGCAAAGAGCTTCTGAGCTGGGGATGCTGGGCTGAGCTGTGGGGAGAGCAGCCGAAACGTCAGCCCCTGCTAAGGTGGGATCGCACCCAAGAGCCCCCAGCCGCGGGCAGGGCACCCTTGGCACGGCCAGCCCATGCCGGGATGCTCTATGATGCCACCACCTCCTGCCCTGGGCACACTCTGTTGGAGCAGAGTCCTACCTTGTCCCCGGTGCCCCGGCATGCAGCGAGGTGTTAGTCTGGGTTTTGCTCTGGAGAGGCAGGAGGGAGGTTACGCTGGGGATCGGGGGTTTGCTCTGTTAAAGCGGGAGGAAACGGGGCGGCAAAGAAAGCGGCGGCTGCTGCGGGGGATGTAGGAAAAAGCCCGTACCTGGAAGTCGGAGGCGTGCTCCTTCTGCAGCCCCTCTTTGGTGGTGTCGTGGCTGCCGGGGCCAGAGAAGGAGTCCGTGTGCTCCTTGAAGCCGCTGGTGAGGTGGTCCACCTTCCTGGCGAAGCAGCCCAGGTCCTGCTGGAGCACGCCCAGCCGCATGAGGAGCACGTTCATCAGCTTGGCATCGCTGGGGCTCTCACCGCCGCTACCCACCGCCTCGCCCAGCAGCCCCCCCGTGCACTCGTTGTCCAAGCAAGCCTTCAGCCCAGAGGTGAAGCCGTTGGCATCCGAAATCAAGACGTCGATCGCTTTGCTGACGAGCGCCGCCTGGTCCCGGATGCCCAGCAAGGTCTCCAGGTCCTTGGCTTTGAGCAGCTTGGCGGGACCGTCGGGCACTTTCCCACCAACGGGCAACCTGTCCTGCCCGTCGGCTTCGCCGCTGCCCATCCCGTCCCTCCAGCCGGCGGTGGGGACGCACTGCGCCGAGTCGCCGGCCTCGGCGTCGGTCTCCAGCATGGGCCGGGTGGTCTGGCAGGAGGCCAGGTCGCAGCGCTGGAGGTTGGAGAGCAGCACCCGGTTCTCGTACTGCAGCTTCTTCACCTTCCCGCTCAGCTCGCTGATCTGCACCTTGGCCGTGGCCAGCTCCTCCTGCGAGGGCTCGCTGATCACCGAGCAGCTGTCCTCCGACAGCGTCACGTCCAGCTCGTGGTCCGACTTGTACTTGCTCAGCTCGTTCAGGAGGAGCTTGTTCTGGTCCTCCAGCTCCAGCAGCGAGCGTCTCAGCAGGTCGGCCTCCTCCTCCACAAACTGCAGGTGCCGGCGCAGCTCTGCCACCGTGTCCCCCGCGTCCCCACAACCCGAGACACCCGCCAGGAACCGTGTGTCCTGTCCCGGCAGGTCTCTGTCCCCCTGGCACTTCATGTCGTCCATCTCTGCCCGCAGCCCACGGTTTTCCACCTCCAGCTCCACGATCCTCCGGCTGAGGATGTTGGCTTCCTCCTCCACCAGCTTGAGGTGGACCTTCAGCTCGGCCTCCCGGGAATGGGGTGAGTCAGCCAGCTCCTCCACGGAGAGGGAGCTGTCGAGGTCTCCGTACAGGGACCTGTATTTCACCAGCTCCTCCTTCATGCCATCGTTCTCCTTGGCCAGCTTAGTCAGCTTCTTGCACATCAGGGCTGACTCCTCCTTGGCAAAATGCAGCTGGCACTTCAGGTCGGCGCTGTCCTCCTGGGGACCGAGAGAGCGGACATTAGAAAAGCCCTCCCAGGGGTCACAGTGGCTTTCAGCAAGCCCTGGGGACACGCCACCCTCCCACCCCGGTGACCCCAGGGAAGCTGCAGCCCCTGTTCATGGAGGGGAAAAAGTCTTTGAGATCCATCCCAGAGGCTTTCAGGGAGAGCCTGGACACCAGGCAGGACGCCTGGGCGAGGAGACCCATGGCTCCAGCTGCAGGAAGGGCATCAACCCCACCACTGGGGACACAGGGACCGAGTCCAGCCGTGCCACAGCCTGACCCACCACGGGGAGGAGGAGGAGAGAAAGCTGTCAGAGTCAGCAGAGCGAAATCAAAGCCTCCACCAAGGTTTCCTCCTGAAAGCTGGCAAGCCCTGAAGCAACTGGCGCTGCTGTAGCTGTAACCCCCCCTGCCCCGGGGCTCTGCTCCTCATGTTCAGCCCCAAACACTCCATCACGAGGTGGAGAAGCAGGGTTTTCAGCTGGAAACCTCCTGAAGTCCCAGCCTTCGCCCAGCACTTGCCCTTGCTGCCACCACCTTGCCAGGGGACAGAAAGCCCAGACAAACCCCCCTGCACACCACCTCGCTGGTCCCTTCCCAAGCCCCCTTTTTTCCTGGGACCTTTTCTCCACGTGTTTTATTTTTAATTTAGCAGCGAGGATCTCGGCTCTTTGCCCAGACAGACCGTTTCTCTGCTTTGGAAAGCTTTTTGGACTGAAGACCAGGATTTCCTGACGTCCAGCTTGTGGCTTCCTGTGCCGTGGGGTCACTTGAGTGCTCCCAGCTCCGGCACGGTGACTGCCAGGAGGGGACCTGCTGGGCTGTGACCCTCACCCTGTGGCACTCCACGTGGATGCTGGAGGTGGCTGAGCCCTTTGCCCAGGTGGCTGCTGGCTCTGGTAGCCCTCTGCCTGGCTGAAGACATCTCCTTCCCTCTTTCCTTAGCTGGGAGAAGCAAGCTGTCACCTCCTTTGGGTGCTCCTGACCTCCCCCCCAGCCATGCCCACGCTCACACCCCGCAAACCCCACAGCACCCATTTATTCTGACTTCCCAGGCTGCTCATATCAAGGCCGGGGGATGATGAGGAGGGTGGATCCCATCAGTTTTGGGTGCTGTTTGATTCCCCGGACGCCCCACTGTGACCACAGGAACCACCCTGCTCCTCTTCCGCACTCACGCACAGAGAGGCAGCCTCACTAAGGCTCATTAAAACTGTGCCCCCCCCCCCCCCCCCCCTCTTTTGTCTATAAAGCAGCCCTCCCACCGCTCTCCCCATCCCTCGTCCCCCCACCAGCACAACCCTGGCGAAAAAAAAAAAAAAAAAAAAAGAGAGAAAAAAAAGAAAAAGAGCAGCCGCCTGGCATGTCCCTCTGCCCCTTAGCATCGCTGCAGGGACACGTGCGTCCCCAAGACCACCTCGAGTGCTCCTGGGGTGCAGGACAGACCCCAACATTGAGTCAGTGTCCCCCCCCCAGCTCCATTTTCAGTGCTCGCCCAGCGCTGCCGGGCAGGAAAGGGGCCCAGGAAGCCACAGATGAGTCATGAGCATCTGTGCCCATGGAGCCACCAGGCCACGGCTGCGCAAGAGAGGGAGCTTGGGGCAAGGGGAGGGGGGGGCACATCCAGGGTGTTTGCACCCAAGGAAACTTGGGGTTTGCTTTCCAGCTCCTCCGGCTCCTTCTTGGAGCATCAGTCCCACCACAGAGCTGGGACCGCATCCAGTGCCGTGTCCCCAGGTGAGGGGTCTGGGCTCTGTGGGGGTGTGGGAGGCAGAGGGGGGGGAATTGCTGCAGCCCAGGGCTGGGGTTTATTCCCTGCCCCGGGGAGAGGCAGAGGAGGGGCTGTATTTCAGCCTCGGGAAGGGGGATGATGGAGGGGGTCCACACAGCCCCCTCAGCTCGGGGCACAGCTCTTTGGGGAAACAGGGGGACCATCAGCTGGCCTGAAAAGGATGGATTTAAAGGATGGATTTAAAGGAAGATGATAAATAAAAAACCAAAGGGCAAAGTCTTTGAGGGCCTGGGGATCCCTGCCCTGCGGCTGCACAGAGTGGGCTGTGCCAGCAATGACACAGGTCACCCAGAAACCCTCGGGGTGCCCGGTGTCCCCACCATGAGATGCTCCCAGCAGTGCGTGCCAGGAGTGGCTTTACAGGGTCTCCCTCCCTGCCCTGGCTCTGGGGAGAGCAGATCTACTCCCCCAGAATAAACCTTTCAGGTCTTTTGCCTTTGAAAGAGGATTTTTCCAGTATTAAAACACTTGCATTTCTATTCCTGCAACAGCAGCTCTGCCCCTCCGAGCCCCGGTAACAGCATTAACGAGTCACAGCAGCTCAGCCCAACAGCAAGTGACAGCTGAAATCCTGCTGCCACCAGCAAATCCCAGCTCCTGGCACCGGGCAGGGACAGCTCGGCCTCCAGCCCTTCCCCACGGGGACCCCCTCAGCTCCCCCAAACCCCGTGGGGGGCTCCAGGGCCACCCTCAAGCACGGCTGCTGGAGGGACCTGGGCTCCAACAGCCACAACCCAAGAGCAGAAGCAGCTTTGCAATGTGAATGTCAAAGTCCTTCAGCTCCTTCCTGCAGCCCTGACACCCTGAAAGGGTTAAAGCCACCCGCTGGCCACTGATGCTTCATTGATAAATGAGAAGAGGGAGCGGCTGAGGACAATGAGGATGGCCCAGCACATCAATCCCTCCCTTATGCAAGGTCTCTGAGAGGCAGGAAAGCCCTGCAAGAAGGGGGATGGCACTGCCATGCTCAGATTTACTGCTGGGTCAGGCATAGTCTCCAGCTGGCACCGTGACCTGGATGCCAGCGGGCCACCATGGCACGTCCCAGACACGCCTGCACCAGTACCTGCACCGATGGTTTCTTCTCCGTCTTCCCGATGGAGCGAGACCCCCGTTTCTTCAGGGAATTCTGCAGAGAGAGGACAGAGCTGTCACCCGCAAGGATGGCAAACAGACAAACAGACCCACCGTGGGTGGACATCAAAACCAACTTCTCTGCAGAGAGAGGACAGAGCTGTCACCCGCAAGGATGGCAAAGCACCCTGGCACAGACAGATAGACCCACCATGGGCGGACATCAACACCAACTTCTTCAGCCACTCGTGAACCCCAGGAAAACCCCAGAGCCCTAGCGGGCTGCGACCCTTTGCTTTGGGGGAGCTGGACTGGAAATCATCATATCATGAGTTTTGGCCAGAATTTCCCCCTGCAGGCAAGCGAGCAGCAAGAGAGAGCAGGAGTGAGCAGGAAATGAGCCATGGAGAGGTTGAGTCAAGTCCCCTCAGGGCTGGATGGAGCAGGGAATCCAACCCCCAAGCCAAGGGACAGCTCTGAGGGCATCCCAGTGTGGGAGCAGCAGAGGATGACGTTCCCCCATTGCCTCCTCCCCAAGCAAGGGACATGTCCCGGTCACTCAGCTATGGGGAGGGCTCCTCAGCAGGATGAAGCTGACTCTGTCCTCTGGGGCTCTAGGGACACAAGGGACCATCTCCAGGCTAGTGAGGACAGCTGGGAGACAACACAGAGCAATTAGGGAGAAGCAGGGGGGGGGAAAGCAGGTTCCCTGAGCAGGGCCAGTAATGTGGGAAGAGGAGCTGGGGAAAAAAAACCTCAAAAAGACCTCTGCAGCCCCCCATGAGCGCCGGCCGATCCATGCGGCCACCCTAGACCTATTTCCAAGCTGGCGCTGAGGCCCAGCAGCCAAAGAAAGCAGCTGTGAAATGTAAGCTGCTGCCTGTGCCAAGGTGCCGGGCTCCAGGCTTTCCTATTAAGGCCACGACCATCGCTGGAGCTCCTGCTGCTGCAGCAGAGCCTCTCCTGGGGGGCTGGCCGTGCCACGTCGGCATCCCTCACCCCCACCCGGGCTGGCAAAGGGCATCGCCGGGCCCCGAGCAGCCCCCAGCACAGCCACCCCCCCAGGGTCAGAGGTGGGCTCCCACCCCTCCACCTTGGTGCGTCCCCTGGGGTGGCTGTGCCCTAAAAGTCCCTTCCCAGCTGAGCTCGATGCGACGGGCTTGGCATGGGGTACCCGGAGTGGTCCCACTTTTCTCCCGCCCCCCAGGAGATGCTGTCAAGAGGGGTAGAGCCAGAGGGACAAACACAGGCGCCTTTGGGGATGATCTGCCCATCCTGACAATTATCCAATTATGGGAGAAACCTCTTGGAAGGGAGAAATAATCAGCCCTGAGGGGTGAGCCCAGCCCTGCGCAGCCTCCTCCGCTAACAAGCTCTGCCACGCCATGCGCCCTCCAGCAGCAGGGAGGAGGTGGAGGAGGGCTGTTAACTCCCTCGGGTTTGTCTAATTAGCGCTCTGCAATCAGTGAGTAACCCCGATGCCCTTGCTTAGCCTGGGGACACGCCACCCGCACAGTTTCAGGGGAGTGTGCTCCGAGTGGTGCCAACTCTCCTGCCAGCATCGGGGTCTCCTCTGGGCTCCTGCAGCTGCAGAGAGGGGCTGCCTTCTGTCCCAGGCTCTTCTGCCAGGGCAAGGCAGCGGCTGGTGCCCAGGTCCCCCTGCCCACTGCCCATGCAACCATTTTCTCTGCTTGTTTTTCAAGCAGCCGGGGAGTCCTCCCGCTGCTGCCATTTGTTATTCAGCCCGCACTCCCCGGCTGCAGGGAAAACCCATTTCACGCTCATGAGCGGAGGCTGCGCAGTGGAGGGACAGGACACCCTGTGCTGGGGTGACGCTGCTCTGTGCCACCCTACGAGAAGGTGGCTGCAGAGGGGATGGCTGCGACCACGGCCGGGCCAGGAGCTGACCCTGGCATCATCTGGAGCCGACCCTGGCATCATCTGGAGCCGACCCTGGGGAGCCCAAGCCGTGTGCTGGCTCCCTGCCCTGCCACCCAGGGGAGCACGGCTGGGGGCAGAGAGAGCCCTCCCTGTGCCATGTCCCTGTCCTTGATGGGACCAGAGCCCGAGCTCTCCCACAGCACATCTCCTCCCACACGCTGCCCTGATGGATCCGCCAGCGATGCCTCCCGAGGCTCCCCGGGGACCAAAGGCATCCCGGGCAGTAGGGAAGTGGGTTACAAGTGCTGCAGCGGATCACAAGCCCATGTTGTCACCGGGATGCCTTTCCTGTCACCAAGGATGACACCACTCCTGCCTGGGAGCTGGTCACAGGACACAGAGTGCCCTGGACCGGTGGTGCTTATGGTGGTACCCGCGTGGTACACAGCTTCCCAAGATACAGACAGGACCGTGCACCCCCCCTGGCTCCACAGCCCCACTGGGACACTGCTGGGGCACCACTGGGACACCGCTGCCATGCAGACCCCTGGCTCAGCACAGTTTGAACCAGCAGCCTGCGGTGAGGACATGGCCAGCACGGGGCACCGCGCCAGGGACACGGCGGACTCCACACGTCGTGCAGAGCTTTGGTGGGTGGGAGTTGGGCACAGCCCAAGGCTGAGCAAATGGCCGAGGACATATAAAGTGGCTGTAGTGCAGGGGGTAAGTCCCCTACCTCCCCCCTCCCTGGGGACCGGGTAGACCCCCCGGTGCCCGCAGGGTGGGACGAAGCCCGCCTCACTGAGGGAAAGCGCCGCTCGGGTTTCACGAGCATCTGCAGCACGGTTTGGGTTTCAATGATGGGAGCAGGGATGGGGGATCCCACGGTGCAAGGCCAGGACACCTGCTACACCCAGAGCCTTGGGGACGCCTCCCCGTGTCCCCTCCCCGTGTCCCCCTCACCTCTCGGAGCTTGTCCATCTCGTTCTGCACCACCTGCTTGGCCAGCTCCGTCTCGATGAGCCGCTTGCGCAGGTCCTCGTTCTCCTCCTCCAGCCTGATCCTCTTCTTCTCCACCACCTCCAGCTCATTGTGGAGCCGCACAGAGACGTCCTTGGCCACCTGGGGACACAGCGGGGGGCTGTCCTCAAGCTGGATGCAGCATGCTCGGGGCTGGGACCGCGGTGCCAGGGCACCTACAATCCTCATGCAGAGATCATCAGGCTGTTGCTGAGACCCTTTGGAGCAGACGCTGTGCTGGGTGACATCCAGGCCTTGTATGTCCCCTCAATCACTTGCTGTGACCACTGTTACCCCTTCACCAAGGGGGCAAGGCTGCCCCCCCCATCCCCATCCCCTCACCAAACCCTGCCTTCTCCAGCCCTAACACGATGCTGCATGGTCCTCATTGCCTTTTTGTATCTTTTGCCTGCACTGCGAGGCTGGAAAAGCCCCCAAAAGGCTGGAAAAGCCCCCAAAAGGCTGGAAAAGCCGTCTGGCAGCACCAGAGCAGGCAGCAGCTGTGCTGGTGGGGAGAAAGGCGAGCTGCTGCATCACGTTACGGAAAAAAACCAGCAGCTGCCCCCGGGGTGAAGGGTGCCTCCATCCATCCCCAGCACGGCCCCAGAGCCCCCCCCCCTCTCCAGATCACTGCAAGGGAGCAGCCCCTGGAGTAAAGGGAGCTTAACAGCAAGAAGCTTTCGCTCCTGCATCTGTAGGAAGGGAAAAATTGTCCCCAGTGCCCCATGTGCCCCTCCCAGCCCGTGGTACCAGCCCTGGGGAGGCAGCAATATCCCCCCGCTGAGGGGCTGGGGGGGCTCAGCTCCCCCCGAGAATGGGTTGTGCTTTCTTTCCCAGAAGAGAACAAGCTGGAAGGGGGTGTTTTTGGCAGCAGAACCCCAAGCAGGGGACTGCTGGGTGGTTTGGGGAGGGAATCAGGCCCCCAGCAGGGATGGGCAGCCCAAAGCAGGTTCACAGCCCTGCACTCGTGGCGTGTCCTGGCTCCGGGACAGGCTGTTTTCTGCTCAAAAAACTAAATCACTCCTTGAGCTGTTGCCCGTGACCCCCCCAAGCCGTCTCCAGCTGCCACCCCACCTCTCTCCTGGCAGCAGCTGTGCAGGCTGGAGCCCTCAGCAAACACTCACCGGCACCGGTGGCTCCTCGAGGGCCAGCGGCTGGCGACGGCGAGGCAACGTCACCCCAAAGAAATCCTCGTGTCCCTGCCCCAGCCTGCTCTGCCTGACGACCCAGAGGAGCAGCTCCCAGGTCCTCAGGGTCCTGGTCACCCTGCTCTCTCCCTGCACGTTCCTGCCTCTCCAGCCCATGGTGGTGGGCCCTGTCCTGTCCCCATTGGTGCAGGATAAGGGGGCTCGACCCCAGGGCACACAGCCAGGCTGGGCTCCTGCCTGCACAGGATGAATCTCACGTATGGCACTGCAAGAACCCTGTCCTTGGGCAACGCTGGCCCTCTCCACCCTCCAGACCCTACGAAAATACCCCCATGAAGAGACCACCCATGATCCAAAAGTGCTGCTCCCCACTTCTCGTACCACCACCGCCAGCGGAAAATCATAATGTCCCCATTAAGGGGCTGCCCCCCATAAATGGCACAGCCCTGCAGAGCTCCCTGCATCTCAGCATCCCTTGCTACCCCCTTGTTCCTCACCAGCCACCCAGTATTAATCCAGGCTGGGGGATGAGGGGATTGAGAGTAGCTCTGCCAAGATGGACTCGGGGGTACTGGTGGATGAGAAGCTCAACATGAGCTGGCAATGTGTGCCTGCAGCCCAGAAAGCCCCCCCACATCCCGGGCTGCGGGGGGGATTCTGCCCCTCTGCTCCGCTCTGGGGAGACACCCCACCCCCCCCTAGTGCTGCCTCCAGCTCTGGGGCCACCAACAGCAGAAGGAAATGGAGCTGTTGGAGCGGGGCCAGAGGAGGCCACGGAGATGCTGGGAGGGCTGGAGCCCCTCTGCTGGGAGGGGGGGCTGAGGGAGTTGGGGGGTTCAGCCTGGAGAAGAGAAGGCTCCCGGGAGACCTTAGAGCCCCTTCCAGTCCCTAAAGGGGCTCCAGGGAAGCTGGGGAGGGACTTTTTAGCAGGGCCTGTTGTGATAGCACAAGGTGTAATGGCTTTAAACTGAAACGGGGGTGATTTAGACAAGATAGAAGGAAAAAATTTTTTACACTGAGGGTGGTAAAACCCTGGCCCAGGCTGCCCAGAGAGGTGGTAGATGCCCCATCCCTGGAACCATTCAAGGCCAGGTTGGACAGGGCTCTGAACAACCTGATCTAGTTGAAGATGTCCCTGCTCATTAACAAGGGGGTGGACTAGATGACCTTTAAAGGTCCTTTCCAACGCAAACTATTCTATAATTCTACATCTCACCAAAAAACACTTTGGAGGATCTGGGGACTGCCCGGATGGGGATGTCACCCTCCCAGGCTCACCTTGACGTCCTGCTCGAGGCTGTGGATGAGCTCGCCGTCCACCTGGCCGGTCTGTGCCACGCGCAGGCTGCGGCGCTCGGCCTTGCGCAGCCGGTACTGCAGGATGCGGCAGGTCTTGCTGGCCTGGTCCAGCTGCTGCCGGAGCTCCTGCAGCTGGTAGACATCCTCCTCCATGTAGACGTCCCTCATCTCCAGCATCTCGGCGCGCAGCTCCTCGATCTCATCCTGTGGGGAGATGCACATTAGAGGGGATGGACCCCATAGCTTGGTCTCCCCTCTTTTCCCTCTGGCTCCCCTGTCCTCCTCCATCCCATGAGTTGTTTTCACGGACCTTCTACCCCTCAGATCAAGCCCCATCCTTGCAGGAAAGAGGGCTTGGAGCCAGCTGGGGCACCATCACCCACAGGCGAGCACACCCACGGTGGGGGGGGACACACACAGCCAACACGGGCGCCTATAAATATTTGTGGTAAAAGAAAGAGGAAGGTGGGGGAGGGAGAGGAGCTGCAGGAGCAGCACAGGCGGCAGCCATGGCAAGAAAAATGTAGGTCGTCTTTGGAAAAGATGTGTCAGGGAGGCAGGCGAGGGAAGGAGGAGACGGCAGGCGAGGACAGGGGAGGCAATGCGGGGACACAAGCAAGATGCCATCAGTGCCAGGAACCAGAGGTCGCCCCTTGTTTTTGCCACCAAGGAGCAATCATTGGGCTGGGTCCTCCTTCCAGCCTTTTCCCAGTCTCATTACAAACCTCTCCCAGCCCTCTCCCGCAATGCTGCTGTCACAGCAGGGCCAGGGGTGACATCCTTCTGCCACCAGCACTGACCCAAAGCCTCCTCCGGGTCTGCAGCACACGACTGCTGCAGGACCCCCTGTATCAGCCACAGCCCCAGTGCCACCTCCCCATCCAGTGCAGGGCCACTGGACACCAGGGATGCTCAAGGACTGTCCCCTCTGGTCCCTGGGGACCCACATGGGCTGCCCAAAGCTCTTTTCACATCCCTGTGGGCATGGTCTCAACCCAAATCCTCCGAGCAAACACTCCAGCCATTGCACCAGTTGTTCTCCTCCTCCAGTGGACCCAGCCTGCACCTGGGAAGGGATTGAGCATCTGCTTTCCTGCCAAAAAACCCTGCCACTAAAAACGTCCCATCGCTGCCAAATGCAACTGCCACTCGAGGGGCGAGGGGCTCACGCTGCCACCTCCCACCGCAGCACAGCCCGGGAAGGGACAAGACAAGGATCCAGCACAGGCAGCGGGGACGCACAGCCCCCATTCACCCCAGGAAAAGGGGACAGGACCCCCCTGCTCCCCACACCAGTGTCCTGCAGCCCGAGAGAGCGGCACCGTGCCAGGCACTGGCACCCTCGCTGCTGCTGCACTGCCCCAGCCCAGACAAAGCCCCAGCTGCAAGAATTCCCCCGAAAAGCGAAGCCGAGCCTGGGGAGGGGGGATGGCAGCTGCGGGGACAAGTCACAGTCGCTCACTGTTGGCTTTAAACACTACGTGATAAATAAGGAACGTCAATTAGACAGTCCCGGATTATCTCCCGGCCCAGGCTGCCAGAGCCTGGTGGCACCGTGGCCACCAGTGTCCTGCCACCCTCTGCCACTCGGCTTCTTGCTGGGGGGTCTCGAGAGCAACAGCAGGGCAGAAACAGCCCTGAGGCACCGAGGTAGGCAGCGGGGGGACGTCACAGGGACACTCAGCCAGAGACCATCCCATGGAGGGGCACCAGGCGTGGAACCCCCAGGGACGCACTGCACGTGCCCCCGATGCACCTCGGGGGTGACACCCTCCATGGAAACCCACTGCCAACACTGCCCACCCCACATAGCAGTGCCACCACGCTGGGGACACCAGCAAAAAAATCCATAAGCCAAACCAGCCCGGGGAGCTGGTTTATGGGATCTGTTCCTTGGGAGCTGCCATAGGGAAAAAGGCGTTCTGCATCGCAGGGGAGCAGGCGCTCTGCAGCGAGGTGGTGGAAAACAACCTTTTGCCACCAAAATCAGGCGAATCGTGGCTCGAAGAAGATTGCAGAGGGACTGGGGGGGCTGCCTGCGTCCCTCCGCAGCGCTGACCGCACCGGCTCCCGTTTGCTGTGCGGCTTCCCCAGGCAGGGCAGGGAGCAGAGACCTTGGAAAAAACCCAACGCAACCTTCCATTTGCTGGAAGGAAGCCTGGGCTGGCCGTGCTGGGAGCTCCCACTTGTTTACACCCCGGGTTGTAGCAACCAGGGCTTTAGGGGGAGGCCGTGTCCAGCACGAGCTGCTGCCGGGGCAAAGCCTGGTGGCACAGCCCTGAGCTGCTCCACGGTGGGGTGATCCCATGGGAAGCGGGGCTGGGGGAGCTGGCAGAAGGGCTGGCACTCAGGGGGGCTGGGAAAGCGGCCACAGGAATTTGCCTGCACCCTGCAACGCCAAGAAACCCCTGCACAGCCTGCCCTGAGCTCGCCCCTCGGAGGCAAGTCCTGCCACTAAGCCATAATAACTGGATTAGGATCGGAGAGCAGAAAAGTGCCAGCAAACTGGAAGAGAGCTTAGGATGACAAAGCTGATCCCCTCCGTGACCGGGCTGCCGAGGGCAGAAGAGCCCTGCGGCTCCTGGAGGCAGCCAAATGGGGTGCTCCGAGGTCCCCTGACGGCTTCGGGGGTCCGTGACAGCCACCGAGCCTCACACATTGCATCTGCATGTTTTCTGGAGTCGATGCCCAACTTAGCAAAAATCAAAGCAAAAAATCCATTTGGATAAAGGCGAGAGCAGAGCTGGGGTGGGGAAGAACCCCCTAGAAACATCCCAAATTCAGGGGTGGTGTTGTGAGCATTAAGCACCTTAAGTGATGCTAACTGAAGTGTGAAATGGATACAAGGTGGGCAACGCTGAGGTAGGGATCACAGAATGGTTTGGGTTGGAAGGAACCTTAAAGCCCATCCAGTGCCACCCCCTGCCCTGGGCAAGGACACCTCCCACCACACCAGGTTGCTCCAAGCCCCCTCCAACCTGCCCTTGAACCCCTCCAGGGATGGGGCAGCCACAGCTTCTCTGGGCAACCTGGGCCAGGCTCTCACCACCCTCACAGCAAAGAAGTTCTTCCCCACATCTCAGCTCCATCTCCCCTCTTTCAGTGTCAAACCCTTCCCCCTCCTCCTAGGGCTCCCCTCCCTGATCCAGAGTCCCTCCCCATCTCTCCTGGAGCCCCTTCAGGGACTGGAAGGGGCTCTAAGGTCTCCCCAGAGCCTTCTCTTCTCCAGGCTGAACCCCCCAGCTCTCTCAGCAACCCCTCACTGCAGAGGGGCTCCAGCCCTCCCAGCATCTCCGTGGCCTCTCCTGGCCCCACTCCAACAGGTCCACATCCTTCTTGTGCTGAGATGAATTACTTCTTTCCAACACAACTGCCCGTGGGGGGCTGCCAGGCTCAACCACACGTCCCATAAACAAAAGGCCTCCACACCTACATGGAGTCACAGCCTCTCAGAACCCATGGGCAGCTCATCCCCTCCATCCTCCAGGATTATCCACCACTGCATCCGTGCTCACCACATCTCCGCAGCAGCAAAGGTTACATGTTTTTTTTTGGCCAGAAGTCACCCATCTTGGAAAAGATGGGGGGATCTGCAGTCCAGGCAGACTCGTCTCAATGCCCAAGGGATGATGGTGGCCAGAAGCAATCACCCTACTTGTGTTTGCAGGAGACAGGTTACACTCCATGGAGGAACCCAAGAGACAACACACACCTTCAACCTTCTCTAAGCAATCCTTGGAGAAACTGCCTCTCCCTGGGGAGATCATTAAGGAAACTAACTATCCCACCATTAAGGTGGGATACAAACTGCCTGGAAAGAAAAGCATGCATTTTCAGAGCAGAATGTAACAGCCATGTCCCCCACTTGCAGGACATCATCTCCTCCAGGAAAGACAAGACCTGGAGGGGCTGAGCATTAGAGTGATGGTCCAGGATGGCGGCATGGCGGTAGGAAGACCAATAGAGGTAGCAGAGAACCCCTCAAAACGCAGATCAGACCCATGGTGGGTTGCAGCAGAAGAGTTAAACCCTGGGATCTCCTGCGAGAACGCAGCAGGCTCAGAGCAGACCTGCTGGATCCGCTATCTGGGAGAAGCAGAAAGCAGCGAGGGATACAAAACAGGATCATGCCAATAACGCCATGGCTGGCTGCCGTGCCGCTGCCAGCGCATACGCCCGTGCCTTTGGCAGCCCCAGCCTTTGGGGAGCAGCCAAGCAGCAGCCCGTGGGGGGGAGAGGGGAGCACAGCCCTGCCCCACATCCCCCCACCCTCCACCCGCACCCCCCAAACCCCAGGGCGAGATGCGAAAGAGGAGAAAGGGTAGAAGCTGCCCCCCCCTCCTCCTGCCATCCCCCCACCATGAAAAGATGGGGATTAACATCCAGGAGCAACAAGCACCGCTTCCTCTGAGATTACAGGACAAAAGCGGCAGCTTTCAATTAACTCTGAGCCCCCACCAGCCAGAAGAGGCAATTATGCTTGAATTTGCTGGGGGG